CTAAAGTCACATTGGAACAACATTTGGAATGAACAGCGAGTGACAGCATTAGCAGTTCTAGCATTGAGTTACGTTATTTAAATTAGTGTTTTTCAACCCTGGTCCTCAAGGCACACTGCTCTGCATGTTTTGGATGTTTCTGAGCTTCAACACACCTGATTCAGATGATTGCAGTTCAGCAAAGCCTGATAATCTGCTATCAATTGTTAACAGGTGTGTGGGTCATATAATTGGGGTTTTAAAATTTCAATAGATAAGACAAAGACTTTATTTTTCACTAGGAAGAAAGTATCTAGTGATTTAAAATTGTATTTGTATAAACATGATTTAGAAAGAGTAAAGGAGTTTAAGTTTCTGGGTTTGTGGATGGATGAAAAACTGACCTGGAGTAGTCATATTCAAAAAGTAGTGGACAAGTGTAAGAGAGTTTTAAATGTTATGAGGTGTTTGGTGGGGAGAGAGTGGGGCGCTGAGAGAAAAGCATTAAAATCAATATATACGGGTTTAATAAGATCTGTATTAGATTATGGCAGCCTGGCATTTGGATCAGCATCAGAAACACTTCTTAAAAAATTAGATATTATTCAGTTTCAAGCCTTGAGGTTGTGTACAGGAGCCATCAGAACAACTCCAATCTCAGCTTTGTTGAAATGGGGGAAATACCACTTTACCTTAGAAGATTACAGTTAAGATTATCTTACTGGAGTTATTTAAAGGGTCATTATAAAAACCATCCATTTCAAGAAATTTTAAAACCTAGTTGGGAAAAAGACGTTAAAATCCTTTGGTTGGGAGATAGAAAGTGATGTTAAAAATTTTCAATTATCATCCATAAAAATGAGTGATACAGTTCCTCTGTCACTGGTTCATCCATCTCTATTTAATGAAATCATTGTGGACTTATCATTGTTGAAGAAGAGGGAAAAAGGAAATTTTTCAGAATCTTGCTCAATCCAAAATAAAATAAATATTTTGGTTATGTTCAAGTGTATACAGATGCATCTAAAAGCCTAAGTAACAACAATGGGGTGTCATTTATCGTCCCAGAATTTAATATTAAAAAATGTAAGAGGATTTCTGATGACGTATCAGTGTTTACAGGGGAAATGATGGGAATTATTTTGGCTTTGAGTTGGATTGAAGATGTTCGTCCTTTAAGAAGTTTAATTTGCTCTGATTCAAGCTCATCGTTATATTCAATTAAAAATAATCATTCCAATAGTAGACCAGACCTTCTATTGGAGAATCAGTTAATACTTTATAGAATTCAGACCATGGGATTAATTGTCATTTTTATGGGTTCCATCTCATATAGGAGTAATAGGTAATGAATTGGCAGACAGATATGCAAAACAAGCTTCAAAAAACAGTTGCATTGAGATACTGATTCCATTTAGTAAAGAGGAGATAAAATCTATTATAAAACAAAAGGTTAAGGAAAGATGGCAGAAGCAGTGGGAGGAGGAAAGAACTGGTAGATGGCTTTATAGCATTCAAAGGAAAGTTGGGGTAATGAGGAGAACAGGAAGAAGTAGAAAAGAAGATAATATCATATCCAGGTTACGTTTTGGTCATACAGGCTTAAACAGTACATTATTTATAATGGGAAGACATCCATCAGGAAATTGTGAATTTTGTTTTCAAGAAGAGACAGTAGAACATGTTTTGTTGTTTTGTCCAAAGTACGCTGAGGAGAGAAGGAAATTAGAATATCAACTTCTAAAGAATAAGTTACAGTTAAAAATATCAGATATGTTGGGATATTGCTCCTCTTCTGAATATTTACGTTATTTATTAAGATTTCTTAAGAAAACTAAACTGATAGAAAGGATTTAGTTTTTTTTTTTTTTTTGTTTTTTTTTTTAAGTTGCGTCCTGATCCACACTCCTTACCAGTAGGTGGCGGTAATGCACACCAATAAGTTGCTTGTCAACCGCCATTAAACAAGAAACAACAACAACAACAACAACAGGTGTGTGAAAGCTGGGAAACATCTAAAACATGCAGGGCAGTGTGCCTTGGGGACCAGGGATGAAAAACACTGATTTAAATGATCACATTTTACATAAAAAAACGAATATATTTCTAAAGCTTTAGACTTCAAATAGAATCCAGACACTCAGTCTTCAAGAGCAAGTCCACATGTGACTTAGTCAGAGAAAAGACCATCAATAAATGATGCTGCAGCACCCCATACATGAAGAACGGGTCTTCCAGCCTACATCACTGCAGACAACGCAGAGCTTCAGCTCTAATGCTTCATATGCAGAGATGCTAATGAATTACTGAATTGATCCAGATCATGTTATATCCAGTGGTGGAAAGTAACAAAGTACATTTACTTGCTTGCTGTACTTAAGTACGTTTTTGAATATATTTACTTGAGTATTTTTTTAGGGGGGGACATATAACTCACTCCACTAAATTTCAAAGTCTACTCCACTCCATTTCAAGGAAGCTGCAAGTTACTTGTTCCCTTTGGCTCAGCTTAGCTTTGTAATCCACTGTTGCTATTTTTCTTTCTTGAAATGCAATTTTAACATGGCAGATAGCAGCCCTTAGGAATGAATTTGGACACCACTGTTCTAAAGATTAGCATGACATTATAACAATGTGAGAAACTCTGGGCAGATGATATTTGTAGTTCATTCATTTTATTAAGGCGTTAAGTAGAAGAGGTTGGTCAAAACCAAATCCCATGGCAAATATAGCTTCCACCCCAATAAAACACCAAACAAGTTAAGTTTAAATTTGTATTACAATATTGATTATGAACAATATAAATCACAAAAAGGACAGGGGAATAAAAAAAAATACAATGTACCTATGAGATCTCAGGGGAAAATTAAATAAACTTGGTCCAATGTCCAAAATGAAAACTACCCTTGAGTGCACTCAAAATTAAAGTTATCCTACCACCCCTTAATACTCAGAGTCCAAACCAAGGATTCTCAAAGGAGCCTCTGTGGTGCTGCTAAGTAGAGGAGGTGGACCAAGGAGCCAGGCACCCGGGCGACCAAGTGCGCTGATGAGATGAAGAAACGACCTCCAGGGATCCGAATTAAAAAGGAACCTTAATAAAAAAAACAGTCTACACAAGATGCACAGAAATTAAAGATTAATATTATTCACTAATGTCCATGTTTAATTTTTACTAATGCCTTTTAGTCCATTCTTTTTAACTTAAATATATAGTATACAGAAAATGCAGCAGAATACATTAACTTAGATTGGGAATATAGATTTGAAACAAACTTTCTCCAAAATCCAGTTTTAATGAAAAAAATTGTGCAATTGGCTTCTGGTACCATCACATTTGGAATAAACAGCATAAAACAAAGCCAACAACCCAGTTATACATAGAAAAGCAAACAGCCAGTAATTTGTGGCTAATGGACGTCTTTTAGAGCAGCGGTCCCCAACCACCGGGCCGTGGACCGGTACCGGTCTGTCGATCATTTGGTACCAGGCCGCACAGAATAATTTATCGACGGTCAGAGTCTGAGTGATGTTTTATTTTGAAAAATCTAAAAAATTGCGGTATTCTTTCCCAATAACATCAGTCGGTGCATCTATGCCTCTTGACACAGGTTAAGACTCATCCTATCTATAACATCCTATCTTTGTGAAGCGGGATTTTCTGCGGTTACAGCGACCAAAACAAAGCTATGGAGCAGACTGGACATCAGGAGCACACTTCGTGTGTCATTGTCTCAGATTACGCCTCGATGGGACCGGCTTGTTTTATTTTTATGCTGTTTGTATTTGATGTTACAGTATGCCAGTCGTATCATTTTACTTGATCATATTTACAAAGAGTATAAATCCCGGGTCTGCGAAAATATTGTCTGATATATAGCAGTCCGTGGTGCAAAAAAGGTTGGGGACAGCTGTTTTAGAAAACACAATTCAGTGAGTAAAACATTTTACACACCGTGAACAGCTATCACAGCTAATTTTAAAAGTCATCCTGACTGGTTTGTAAAAAATTAAGGCTTAGATATCATTTAACACCCTTTTATATCGTGTTTCAATAACTACATCATGTGCTAAATACACAAAATGGTACACCTACCAAGACAACTCGATTGAGATTCATATCAATTTCCAACGGAGTTCAACAACATTCACCAGCCTGGTGTATCTGCAAATAAGCTATGAAATATATTCTGAATCCTTTTTATGCTTAAATTGCTTTTTATGGAAGATTTACCTCGTTTCTATATGCTGCCACCCAGTGGTGAAAATCGGAGTTGCACTTGATTTCCTAATGTCAGCAGGAAATGCATTACATTGAGGTAATTAAGGGGTTAAATTAACAGGGTTACAATAAATACATTCGGAAAACAGGAAAACAGAATTTTCATATTTAATTGGATTTAATTTGGGGATACATTCTTTTATACCTTTCAAAATATGATAATGGACCATCCTCCTGGTGCCATATAGGCTATAACAGTCAAGTGGAGAACCCTGCGTGTCAAATATTGAAAGGGATACCCGGTGTGTCATTATGTGATGCAGAGGGAGCCGGACCAAGCGTCCAAATGTGACGAGTTGGGATGGAGAATGTTTAGGAATATTTTCTTAATTGAATACTTCAATACTTCAACTTGAGTAGATGTTTAAACGAGTAACTTTTAATTGTAGTTGATTAAGTTTTTAATAGTATCAAGTACTACTATTGAGTACTTCATCCACCACAGTGGAGATTAAGAAAAAAACAGCTTTGGATTGAAATTTCTTTCCAAATTCAGATTCAGATTTATTGCACAATATTTCAAACTATGGTAGAAAACCTTAGAAAGCGGCCAGTGAGCTTTAGAACTCCCCCCTTTGCCTCATTAAATGCAAACTTTGACTGAACTCACCTTTGGGTGAGGATAAAAATATATTACCGGAGGAAAACGTGCTTTGTTTGATGCTAATTAGCTGGTGCAGCTAGCACGCTTTTCTAATTGATCTCACGCACGCGTGCGTGCGCACGCTCACCCGCTGCCATGGAAATGGAGCACCAGCCATGTTTAACGCTCATTTCTAACCTGAACCTTGGAGATTGCAGTTGCTGCTTTCTGTGGTTTGCTAATCTGCTAAAGGTGGGCTTTGCATCGCTGGACAACTGGTTCCTGGATCATCTGAAAGGTTTGTGTCACTCTTTTACTATGTTAATTAAAAACAAAAATGTTATGTGAAAAATTATTAGTTTTAAGTTTTTTCATGGAAGTTGTGACAGCTAGCTTAGCTTAGCTTCTAGCATCTTTGACATCTCAGAGATTAAAAGTGTTTTGTGCTTTTGTCAGGAATGTTAACAGTGATTTAGTGATTTAAAAAATATATTTGTGTTTAAGAAAAACACCTTTGTTGAATTTGAGGTGAAATGTTCGTAAACTAGATGTGCTAGGTCTATGATTTTTAAAAAATGCACTGAAAATAAGTTTGCTCTATATGAAAATGTTGGTGAAATTACAATAAATAAATATAAAAAGACAGTTGAAGGAAATTTAGCATAATATATTATCAAGCTAAACTGTTTATTTTTTTGTATTTGATAAAAATATATATCATTTTGAGTGTTTTGGAAGTTGACTGAATTTCTCCTGATAAACAACTGGGAAATAAAAGATAAAGATTCTCAAGTTGTTTAATTTAGTTAACGTGTTTAGGAAATGTTAGGTTTATAACCAGTTTTTTTTTTTTATTTAAATAGATTTTTATTGGTTGGAAATGGGAGGAATGATAACAGAAATGTGATGATATAAAACAAAAACACCTTTTGGTTTGTGAGAATAATCTTTGATGAATTTATTGTGGAAATGGTTGAAAACATACAAAACAGTTTTAGGATAAAACCTTTTTTTTTAAATATATTTGAACTTGAAAAAGGAAGTTCTTTTTTAAAACATGCAGTGGTAAACATATTGGTCTCCATGGATACCTTAGTAGAATGCATTAAACAGGGTTTTAAGGTGGCATATATTTTTGACTTTAATGGAAGGTCAAAGGTGTAAAAAATGTGTGATTTTAAAAGTTTCTGGATTCAGAGGATCGTTTTTGGTGAGTTTGGTATCAAATTCTTGCAAAACAAGTTGGCGCCTGGCCCCTTCTGTCAGAGAAGGACTCGAAGAACAAGTATGGTCTCCTTAATACAACAATAAACAACTTTAGCTTTTAAAATTATTTTGAAAGGTCACGTATTTCTTGTAATATTAATAAAACCCTAAACATTATCATTTTTTTTTTTTAGTTTTGTTTCCTAAACACTTTAATGTTTGCACTTGACTAAAAATCAGATCCTTTACATTTTTGGGCAGTAAAATGTTTAGAACCTGGCTGAGTTTATTATAAGTGCTGTCATTGTGAGAAAAGCGTAAAGAATAAATGTTTGATTCAATATATTATTTAAAAGTGTTTCTGCAGCCCTTGTTTTGATCTTCAGGTGAATGTAAATAATTGAATCTTATCTGTCACCAGAAATAATACAGCTTGTTTACAGATGACTTCATCATTTTCTAGATCTTCAAAACATTTAACGCTGGATGGTTTCTTCTAAACAATTAAAAGTTCTGTATAGGATCCCCTTTCTTAGATTTGTAGAAAAAAATTGAATCTGAATTGTCCATCTAATTGTCTGCACCTGCGCATTGGGTGCAGAAGCCTGTTAAAGGGCAGTATTTTCAGAGCCCCAAGACCATAAAATTCTGAGACGCTGATTGGCCATTAAATTATTCAATTCACCTAGTAATAGTACATGATTGGCAGATTCTATGCACTTGTGGGGCAGTCTAATCAAAGCCCCAAGACAGAGACGGTAGGAGTCTGTCTGTGGAAATCCACAAATGAATAACAGTATACATATTTTTAAATATTTCTGTGTGTATTAATTTTTGTAGTATTGTGTCTTTTACAACGATGTCCATTTTTATTTTAAAACTAACCAAACCACTAACATTCTTAATTTTTTTTTATTGGGTTATTTTAGCTCACAGATCAATGTTCTTATTGATTAAATCTACTTTAACCTGACAAACTCACACAGGCACATCCAGCAACCTAAAATAAAGCATTTCATTTTTTATTTAATGTTCCTTTATTAACGTTCCTGGTCTAATGATGTCTTTCCCTCACAGTTCCAGTCGCTGCCCTTCCTGACCCGGAGCTCCCGTTCTGGATTCAGGAACTGGGTAATTTTAATTTCAATTTTAATAACGTCATGGGAGAACTGAGGAGAAGGATGAGGATGAGGAGGTTGAGAGAACTGTTACACATTGAGGAGGTGGAGGAAGGTTTTTTTGATGATGAGGAGGAGGAGGAAGAGGCTGAAGCATTAGTGGTGGAGGAGAATGAGGAGGTGGAGATACAGGGTTTTGTGGAGGTAGAGGTTGAGGACGAGGTTGAGGATGAGGATGAGGCTGAGGGCCAGGATGAGTATGATAGGTATTTATCTAGCGAGTCTCTTGGTGGGGCTGAGGACGAGGATGAGGATGAGGCTGATAGGTCTTTTTGTAGTGAGTCTCTTGATGAGGCTGAGGACGAGGATGAGGATGACGAGGAGGCTGAGGATGACGAGAAGGCTGAGTATGAGTTTGAGGCTGAGGATGAGTTTGAGGCTGAGGCTGAGGATTATAGGTCTTTTTCTAGCGAGGTTCTTGAGGTATCTAGTGCGTTCTCTGGATATGACACCACAAATTCTGAGGAAGAAGACGATGAAGATTCCCCGGACTGCCAAGAAGTCCGTGCCTCTAGGAAAAGGAGAAGAGACGAAGATGAGGAAGATGATCAAGACAATGACCACCTTCCACCTCTTCTTCGGTTCCCCCTGAGGATCCCCCCCCCCCTTCAGACTCCCTTGGAACCAGGAGGAGCCGGAGGATTCCCTGGACTGCCAAGAAGACCGTGCCTCCAGGAGAAGGAGAAGAGAGGAAGATGATGAAGAGGAGCCCCCTGGGAAGAGGCCTTGTGGCGAGAGGCATGTTTGAAAAGAGGGATTTCAAGAACCTTCCTTTAACACCTTCAACTATCTATTTTATTGCTGATTTGGTGACTTTTGGAGGTGGGAAGGCTGAAGGACTGGAAACAGTCACACCTAGATATCATTTATAGATCGTTTTTATATCTGGCAGGTCTAGGGATGCCTTAGGTAGCGTCTTGCAACCTGGCTTTTCTTTACCCCGCTGCTAGATTTTTGTTTTTAGATGCTAAGGAGTCTGGCAGGTCTAGGGATGCCTTAGGTAGCGTTTTGCACCGTGGCTTTTCTTTATCCCGCTGCTAGATTTATTTTTTTAGATGCTAAGGAGTCTGGCAGGTCTAGGGATGCCTTAGGTAGCGTCTTGCACCGTGGCCTTTCTTTACCCCGCTGCTAGATTTATTTTTTTAGATGCTAAGGAGTCTGGCAGGTCTAGGGATGCCTTAGGTAGCGTCTTGCACCGTGGCTTTTCTTTACCCCGCTGCTAGATTTTGATGTAAGTTTTAGATGTTAAGAATTTCCGTTAGCACAGACATCTGAGGAGATGATAACAACTAATAAAAGGTGTGGAACATGAAAGCTGGTAAAGGCAGAAATAGTCTAACATGCTTTACATCTAATGTGGACATTCTGCTAGATAACAGAAAGCAACCCAAACAGTTTTGACGAGAAGAATCACAGAATAGAGGCAAATTAACAAAAACACATAGATAAAAAACACAAAAAGACAGAAATTAAATTAAAGATCAACCACAAGGAGGCAAACAAATCCAAGGAAACTGCTGGACATCGCTGCTGAGGACGACTGTGGAGGTCAAACCTAAACCCTAAAGGAGAAAAAGAAGGTAGAGAGATGACGCTTGGTGGGGCTAATTGATTTAGACCAGTTAGAGGCAGAGGACAGGACTAATGTAGGGATTTGAGTTGTGAAGCACCGACTGTTAGAAACAGCTTTCCGATGTGACTTGCTCTAGTTCTAGATGTTCCTCTGGTTAGTTAGTTTTCAGGCCTAGTTTGAGGGAAAAGAACCCTCTGCAGAAATATTCTCCATATCATCTAGGCCTGTCCTGACCGCAGTGAATCTCTTCTGTGTTTTTTGAATCCCATGTTGGACCGAGCCGCTACAAGCTTTGGGCCAATCAGAAGATGCTGATGAGATCTGCAGCGACCAAACCAGAGGAGGATTATCTGAGCTGCTGACCTTCACAAAGAGTGAGAGCATGTTCAGTAAGGAGCAACAACAATCCATCATTTAAATATAAAGTTAACATTTCAGGTGGCCTCACTTAATTTATCATGTAAGTTCAGACACTGTGGACGTCCAAAAGCAGAAGTCCTGCGAGGAACCGGGACATCCAGGATGATGAGGAGCTTCCCAGTCTCTACCTGAGGACAGCACAGAGAAAGACTGGAACAGAAAACACACGGAGTAAGCCTTTATTAACATGACAAACCCACAACTCAAGCTTCCCAGGCCTGATTAAAAGCTAACAGTCATTGAAACACAGAAAGACCAAGATTATAATGAAAACAACATCCTGCCCCAGATTTCAACTTGATGTCTGTAGATTAATTTGTCTTATTTTTTTCAGGGAAAGCAGGTTGAACATGGAAGCAGTGTTCTAGCAGTCGGATCACATTGGAAAAGAATCCATCCACATGTGTTTGGAGGTATGTTGGTTGTTGTTTGACTAGAGAAGCATCGCATGCAGACAGGTTAAGACTGTGAGGATGCTTTGCTTTCATTTATAAAGGAGCTGAAGAAGAGGATGGAGCACACAGACCGCTAAGGAGAAGAAACATGGCTCCTCTATTTGTCTCTCCAACGTTCTGGAGTCTGAAAAACGTTGACGACCCCGCAGCTAAACCATCAGTCTGCTCCACCCAGTAGAAGAAGGTAATGAACCTTTATTGCTTCCAGATGTTCATCAGTATTGGTGAAGATAGTAAAAATAGATCCAGAACAAACAGATACAAAAGCTTCAACCATCCCATCAAGGTGGTCTAACCTTTAATCTTTATCTTTCCATCATGAGTGGATGTTCACCTCTATTTGTCTCTCTGTAACCAAACCTTTACCAGAACCAGAAGTTCTGACTTTTCCATTAAACCACAGATAAACAGTTAAGAAGCAGCTTCTGATCCAATATGGGAGAATTTCCCCCTGGTTGATCTCTGAAGGTTTTTTTTTTAGAACTTATTAAAGCAGAGAAACGACCAACTGAAGACTCCAACAAATGCAGCATTTTCAGGCATTTTCTCCAAGCATCCATTGTTTACAGTTATCACTTCTGTTAACTTTAGGTTCACCCTGTGTGTTTCCCTCTTCTCTTGGTTAAAGTTACATTTCTCTCAGTGTTTATGTGTTTAAATGTCACAGACTAGCATGTTTGTTCACTAACTCCTGTATTCTTTTCCAGATGAGGTCATCTGCTCCTTGGACCGGCACCTCTGTGTCTGTCGGACGTCTGCTGTCCTGTTAAAGACCCGCTCAGCTGCAGTAGATGGGCGCCGACATGGAACCGGGGTCTGCTGGAGGTTCCTTCCTGCTTAAAGCTGGTTTTCCTCTCCACTGTCTCCTCATTGCTCAGGAGTAGGCACTGCAGCAAAATTAACGACTGTCTGTGATTGGCTGAGCTTCCTTGGGTTGAAGACATTTCTCTGAATGCCACGATAAACTGACTTTATCTTCACCATGTTGTAAATAGGATCTAATTGGATATTTGTGTTTAGATTTGGTTCTGTGTTTGTGTTGACTTCTGTTACAGTACATGTTTCTGTATTAAAATTGTCATGTTAATTGCCTTTAGATGACATTTTCTGTGACTTAATTCTATTTTAAGACTGATTTATATTAAATCCCCTTACTGCACAGGTGTCAAAGTCGTTCCAGAAATGGCCGTGTGGCTGCTGGTTTTCTTTCCACCCAAGCAGTAGCACACCAGACTCCATTCATCTCATCAAGGTGAGTCTAGTCTTAACCTGATGACTTGATGGGATGAATGGAGTCTGGTGTGCTACTGCTTGGGTGGAAAGAAAACCAGCAGCCACACGGCCCTTTCTGGAATGACTTTGACACCCCTGCCTTACTGGGTCTGGTTCTGTTGAAGTATGCTTCCTGTCGTTCTATCTTTACCTGTTATTTCTCACTATAATAAATGTTTGATTGCAGTAATGTGAACAGGATCTGTTTGTATTTTCTGGTAAAGTGTCTTGAAATAAGTGGTTGTAAATTGATTCTTTATAAATAAACCAAACTGAAGTCAAATGGAGCAAGAGTCCTAATATTACTATAGTACAGCGCTTTGGCAGATTGGTGGTTATTATTGTTTCTCTGTTGGGGGGTCTGACCTGACAGCTCATGTTAACAGAACAATTGTTCTTGTCACTTTGCAGTGTCAAAACAAATTAGCTCTAAAAAAAGGACAGTGAGACGTTCCTCCTGCAGTTCTTCTCATTTTATTGACCTTATAGACAATCTGGGAGTTTAGCAGCAGAGCAGACAGGACACATCAACACTGAGCCATACAAAGAACAACAAACAAATATGGGAGGATAATTAAAGATTAATGTTAAAATAAAACAGTAAAAGATTCAATCAACTAGGACGATAGCAGGAACTAAATGTTTAATGAACCCAAAAGCAAACAGCTTTGGTTAATTAGAATAAAACTTGGTTTTAAGGTGATTTTCTCTTCTTTAAACTCTACATTTATATCTCTACCATACTTGGTCCCTCAGGGTTGCATTGCTCACTCCTTTTAGCAGACACCAACTAGTTAATGATTCAGGCTCCTATTCTATCAGAGGAAAATGGATTTAAATGGATTAATGATCCTAAAACTCACATTTAAACTGGTTTTGGAATAGATAAAGCAGCTTTAAATGAACATCTGGAACCTCGGCCATTGTCATGTCTGGATGATCATGTTTAAGGCTACGTTCACACTGCAGGCATTAATGCACAGTTCTGATTTTTTTTTTAGGAAATCTGATTCTTTTGCATGGTTGATCTGATTTCCAAATATGCAATCTCTGAACTGAATTCATTCAACTTAAGTGTCTTAAGGGAGCGTGTTCTGTGTTTACGAAAGTAAACATGGAAGGTAGAGCTGGAGCGCATTTAAAATCTTTCATTTCTTTCCCAGCCTCAGCCAGTGCTTTAACAACACAATCTTTTCAAGATGGTTGAAAATAAAGAATGCTCTCCCCATTATCTTCCGCCATGGTTGTTTTTCCTGCTGCTGCTACATACTGTAGCAAGATGCAGAACTTTAGTCCAGTATTAATGGCATACAGATCAGATGAATGGGTAAGATTTGACTGAGTAACAATACTTTTACTCAAGTACTACAGTTGAATACTTCATCCAACACAGCATGTATGTAATGACAACTATGCTTACCAACTTCAAACTCTTGAAGTTGTTTTGCTAGTAGGAAGAAGAGTACAGCCTCAAAAGGCAGGATTTCCTGAGAAGTAGTCATTCACAGCCGGGTTGCTTTGTCCGTTGAGTCACGCCTTCAAAGAGACAATAGTTCACACGAGCACAAAAAACAGATCCACACGTGAGAAAGGGAGGCTGTGCACGAGGATATCAGACCACCAAGTTTGATGTGGAGATGATTCTGCCACTAGAGGGTGCTACTGCTGCTGTTGGTGAGACGCATCACATTCACTTCCTGTTTTGACTACTGAGCAGTGTTTTTGCTCTTCAGGCTATCTCCGTTTTTCCTCTCCACTGTCGCTACAAGCATGCTTGGTCTGAGGGATTGCATTCAAGTCAGTGAGTCGATGCAATCAGCTGGTTTTCCTTAGACAGAAAACTTTGAATCAATTTGATTGGATGATCCGGTGAACTGGAAAGTGACTTGAGATGACATGTTGTGAATTGGCGCTATATAAATAAGCTGAATTGAATTGAACAAGTGTGTTTAGAAGGGACAAGCACTCGTGTGAGATATATGGGGCCCCGTGGTATTTAAGCATGTAACGTAGCATGTTCAAAAATGCTTGTTATGCCTCTTAACCTACCGTATGCTCCATTTATCATTTCATCGTCACACAGAGCCTTTGCTTTGCCCTTTAGGAGCTGATTGAAATACGCATTTAAAACATTAAATTAGACGCAGACATATGTACAAAAAAACGCTGCCAGTAAAATATACAAGAGTCTTTAGTAAAAAGTTTAAAACATAGAAAAGCTGTTGTATAAAAGAAGGCGGTGATGCATCCATCAGTCTCCTTCAGTTCATTTAAAGGTCAAATCTCGTCTCTGTCCATTTGATCTCTTGGCAGCAGGTTTCATTAAGCTCACGCTCAATTACTTTTGATCAAACAGATTCATGAGATCCAGGTGGAGGTGCAGCAATGCGGGGCTAAAAGTCTCTTCCTTTCCATTATCTCTAATGACACAGAGAAGCCGGAGCAGAACGGTTCTGTGTGTCCGACAGCAGTGGTTCAGTCTGGGACTCTGATCTCTACAGGTAGTTAGAGGTCGCAAAGCAGTGGCTGACTCGGCTCTGGTGGATCATGGCGCGGTCGTACGCCACCTGTACAGACTTTTGGATGCTGGACTTGCGGCCCTCCATTATGCATAACTTGTGTCATCTACTCCCAGAGGGGTCACTATTTAATAAAAAACTTTATTTTTTTTCTTCCTTAGTAAATGTCCTAGCAACTAAGATGAATTAATGAATATAAATGAATGGTGTTAAAGTTAAAATTCTCCACCTGCACTATTTTAGAGGAGACTAAAAATATTTAAAAAAAAATCCCTTGTCCACCTTATTGTTTCATAGAGGTGTGCTTTTTAAACCATGAACTAAGTTCTTTTCTATCTGCCCCAGAATCAGCCCGCCATTTTGACCCGGGAGCAGAAATACACTGTAGACAGGATGGTTGAGGCTCATCGCCAGTTTAGGGAGCAAGACAGCAGCAGTTACAGGGTAGGTGTATCCAGACTTTAGGTTTACCACCTGTTATGATGTTCTCATGTTGTTCTCATGCTGGCAGGTCTCTGAATGGCAGTGTGCTCTGGAGGGGGCGGGGCTGCCTGATGTTATATCCCCACACCTAAACAGACTGCTGCAGTTTGTAAGAACAGTACCAGGTGAGGTGGATGGAAATCTTTACTCATTGACATTTACCATTTGTCCGTTTTGTATTTTATTAAAGGATAAATCTGTTGAATTCTCTCTTTCCGGTCAAATTATTTAAATATCAAATGACTGTTCTGAATCTCTGTCCTGATAATTGTTGTGACTCATTTAACTTCAGGTTAGGATTTCTCTGTGATTATGTTACCTAGTGTGTGTGTCCCAGTGTTACTTGTTACACATAGAGGTTTCTGGTAGCAATTAAATCTCATAACATGGTGATATCGTTTTGGTACATTTCAATTCAGAATTGATGTCTGGTTGATATAAAAACGCATGAAAATGTGGAAACGCTCCTCAGTCCTGCTGTTAGGTATGATGGAGGATCTGTAATGCTGTGGGTCTGTTTGTCAGAGATACAAACATGTGCAATCCCAGTTTGTGGAGAGGATATTTTAATATTTCTTTTTTGTAGGTAGTTTATGAAGCAACTCAAGTTAAAGGATGAAAAGAGATTAGCATCTCCACTCATGGGAAATCTCTGATTGCTTGGTAGCAAGTAGACAATTTAATCATGGAATAAGATGAATTACATTTAAAATAGAAATAGGAAAAAGAAACTCCATTTCATCATTTCAAGTGCATAATACCTAATTATCTCATTTTAAGGGCAGAAATATTCATTCCATTGACGGATAATCCTATTTACCAACTCCAAAAAAAGGGAAATACACTTAATTGAAAAAAAAGATTTAATTTTCTTTTTTTCATTTTTCTGTTTAAACTTTTGCAGTTTAATGCTACGAATGGCAACTTCTCTTATTACCCCTAATAAAAAAAAAACACAAGATGGAGCTGTTTACAATTTTATTACATTTTTTCATTTAAAAGAACAAAAAAAATAATAAAATAAATAAATATACTCAGTTAGTAAAATAAATAAAGGTGAATGGTGAATGTGCTTGAATTAAAGGGTAGGTTGATTCAAAGGTTCTTCCATGTTTTGTTTGCTGCTATAAAAGACATTGATCTAAAGGGTTTGTAAAAAATCTTCACCAGGAACATCAAAGAATGTGGCCTCATGGTGTTTGCAGGTGCATAAACTGTGTTTGGTATTAAAGGCATTAATCTGGTTGTTTTAGTTTGATAATCATTTGGAAGATCATGGTGATTTGGTGATCATTTGACTGTTTCTGATGAAAAAAAGCTATTTGTAGAAAACAGTCAGGTAAGGAATCACCTCCACATTTAGGCAGTGTTCTTTTTTTTAAATCCCAATGAGAGTTCCACATTTCATTCCTATTTTTGTAGATTAAAGTTAAATGTCTAAGAATCTGCATGCTTGTGCTCTGTCACCCAGGTTTTGATCTCCTGGATTTCTCCGACCAGATGGCCCTCCTGTCCGTTTCCTCTCTGGAGGTCATGTTTCTGCTCTCTGCCCAACAGTTCTCCAATAACCCTGCAAGCCCCACTCCAGGTAAAGGGAGAAAACTAAAACTAAAATAAAGACAAAAACACGGTTTTAGAAAATACACCCGTTTGAATCTAACAGCCCATCACTGTATGATCAGTTTTGCAGCTTTTCACCACTTCCTCGCATGGCTGGCTCAGAAATCTGGAGCCCAGGGAAAACTTCCAGATGAGGACGTCCGTCGGTTCAGGTCAGGTATGGACTGTTATGGTTCCCTCCCTCTATTTCTTGACTCTCTGCTCTTCTCCTGCAGTCGCTCTGCCAGCCATCGGTCCCTCTGAGGTTGCAAGGGAGTACTGGTCACTCTGAGAGCAGACCTGAGATGAAAACTAATGATACACAAGCATCAATAAGCCATGTAGCATATAGATTTATTAACTTTTTAAAGGGGAGATCTAAGAGTGGATCATCCTTCCCTTTGTTTTGCTATTTGACTCTGAACCAGGATTTAATTAAACTGCTAAACAATTTAGGAAAGAACAGCTAGAAAGTGTTTTCAGGGTAAGACACTGTTTGAAAACCTTTTTTATAAATTCAGGTTATTTCTTACTGACACCATGATAAATTACTTGTGACAAACAACAAAAGAATAAAGAATCTTCAATCTTTTCATTTTTAATAGAAAGTCATTGCACAAACTAAAAAATGTCATGAACTCATTTGTCTTGTAGGACAATCCAATGCAAAAATCTTTGGTATAAATCTAATCATAGCATTACTGTACAATTAAAAGGTCATTCAACCCCACTACTAGAATGAAATATGCTTAATTTGTGCTTAACTAACAGATTTTGTCTTAATAATTCAATCCAGCTTAATATTAAATAGGCAGATTAAATGTAAAAGTGTAGAAGTGTAATTTCCTTATACCCCAAAAGACTTTTTGTACACCACAATAGAAAGAACTTTAATACAATACTGTTTATTACTGCTGGCAGGGACATATTAAACCGTTTTTGAGTATAGCATAGAAATCCAAAATAGTTAAACATTTCTTTTTTAATTTTCATGAAAAATATCTTTTGGGAGTTAATTTATACTTTAACAATAAGCAGGTTTGTATAAATACAATATATTTCAATTTTGTTTCATGAAAAAAAATACAGCAGTACATAATGAATGTTAAAGTTAACAGCTAAATTATTATCAGATACACAATATGTGAATATAGACTGCAGAGTGTGTGAGAACAGCAATAGCAAGAAACTAAAAATACATGCTAAATTTAACTCTTTTTAAACTTAGAGTATGAAACAATAAGACTCATCTACTGTGTATTTAAACTTCAACTGTTGGTTTCAATTTTACATTAAATTATAATTATGTTATATAGTTTGACAACAGCAGTTCTAGTAATTTGCCAGAAGGGAAAATAATCTTTTATTCAGAATGTATATAAATTACAGAAATCCAAAATATGAAGTTATAACACTAATGTTTTATTTAAATTCTTTTCCGTTTCCACCTAGACTCATACTGAGTTAAATCTTTACAATGTTTATACATTCATAATGTAACTTTTATAAATCAATAAACTGAAGCATTAAGGACTCAGGGTTGAAGGCCCTGTCATCTCAGGCATCCACTGTGACAGTGGGGCCGTTGCTGGTTTCCTCCTGTGGTTTGGTGTCTGTGGGGGAGCTGCTCTCTATGGCAGGCTCTTCTTCCTCCTTTGGTTTCTCGCTGTCAGCCACCAGAGGAGTGGTCTCTGTCTCCGCCTGTCGGTCGCTGCTGGTAGTGCTGGCTGGCTCCTCAACCGTCTCAGCTGGTTGCTTTTCTGCTGCTGCTTCTTTGGTTTCATTGACAATCTGAACGCTGTCGGTGGCTGCAGCCTTTACTGCTTTCACTTCTCCGTTCTGGACTGGGAAGGCGCCCTCTAGGGCTTTGTAGAGGAACTGATACTGCTCCTGTGAGTGGAATAGATTAAAGAAACAGGAAAAATTGATACTGCTGAAGCTTTTATTGGAGAACAACCGTATCACTCAGTATTGTGCAATCATAGCAAAAAGCTTCATGCATAGAGTCACGAATTGGCAGATAATATTGTATATGTTCATTATTTTATTTTTCTTCTAATGTAGTAAACAACCAAAATGTCTATATTACCAAAACATTTTATGCATGAGAATGTTCTGTTGTAATAATACAGTGCATTTAAAGCTAAACCTCACCTTTAGAATCACAGAGTAGGAAAAAGTCAGAGAGTACCGGTAGTTGCTAAATACTAGACGTTATCTGTGTTAAATTACTAATAGGTTTTCATGAAAACATGAATTTCCTCATGTTTTCAAATCTATAGTTTTTTGTGAAATCCTTTTAGGCTTTTAACATGAACATGAAGAAAACTAACATGTAGTCATAGAGGTCACATTTCCTGCCTAAAAACTGCATTAATAAACATTTAAATGAACAAATATTAGAGTAGTATTATCAGAGCATACTGTTATTTATTTTCATATTATTTTTGTTTATTTATTTTATTAATTTATTTTTTCTTATCACTAATGCTATTGACAGTTGTTGGTGGTAGCAACAGTAGTTGCATGATTACTATGTGCATATTTGTTTTTACCTTAATTATGATTGATGTTTTATAATTAATAAGCCTGAATTACAAATATTTTTATGAGTATTTTAATATGCAATTTGTCTGAAATGTGTGTGTGTTGTTTTATTACCGAGCTGAGGATCATCCCCTTCCTCTCCTTGCGTAGAGTTTTGACCACTTGGAAAACATCAACCAGGTTCTCAGTCTCTGCACTGTCCAGCAGGTTCCACAGGGCACAGAAAATTCCTGAACGGGTCGATCCGTCACTGAAGCACACAAACAAACAGAACTTAAAATAAAGCATCAGGTTTGTTGTTTTATTACTCGTCTGGTTTTAGATTACTTAAAATCTTGTGATGTCCCCCTTTTATTTAGGCCTTCAAATATTTCAGAATGCATGTGTTTATGTTTCTGATAAACTCAGACTTACATTTAATGGCTCTGAAATATACATGATACAATAATAAGTCTAATAAGTTTGCCTTTTAACTCTCCTGTGAACTTCCTAATTATGCAGTACCTTGCAGACATTACAAAACATCTAAAACTACCTTATAATTTCCTTTCAAGGAGAATATTTCTTCATCTTTTAAAGTAGTATCACCAGATATTCTCCTCAAGGTCTTTGAAAATATCTTATTTTGGTGCTTTTTTCTCAGTTTTATGCATTTGAATTTTTTTAAGTTAGTTACAAAGAAAACAATGTGAAGACCAAGTGAGTGAGTCAGTGTTTGACTGCAGATGTAGTTGAATTTTACATCAGTATTTTAGCTTCCCTTACATCCATCCCATGTGTAGCATTAATTGAAGTCAAGCCTTAGTGCCAACTACGTCAGCTTGGGTAAAATAAACGCAGATAGACTTTCCAAGTTTATGTGGTGCATCCTGCTTTTTTAACATTTACATTACATTTACTACAATTACATCACTACAGCACAGAACATCCTCAAAGTGATACAAGTTGTGACAGTCACAATGTGTACCGCTGTTGTAGTAAATATTAGCACCACATGAGGGCCCTTCTTTAGTTTGCAATGTTATAAGTGACTGTTAGAGCAGCAGAGGGGTCTGGATCTGGTTGTGTAAATGGATTACTTAACAAGTGGCAGAGGATATATGGACTGAAACTATTGTAAAACAAATGAAAAAAACTGTGATGTGAAGTAAATAAAAACTGCATTAAAGTGAAAAGATATAACAAATTCGAACCATACTGTGATAATATAAACCCAGCTAAAATTTACTGACATATACAAATATATAAATACAATATAATATATAAACAATAAAGGGGTTAGAGTTTGAATTATGTGCCTATAAGATTAACCTAAGTATGACAACAAAATGAAAAACTATTAGTATAATAGCTAGTAAAAACTAAATCTACGCCTAATTAGAATAGTAACTAATTAAAGCAATCAAACCCTCCCCCCTTAAAGTCACGAATACATTACACAAATTTGGGAAGAAAAATCCCAATCTGTCGTAAACTTGATACAGATTATATTCTGAATATTCATGTATGACGCTAAACTGCCTTTGAGATCTGGTATTGTATGGTTTCTACATTTTTAACATGCGGAAAACAGTCATTTATTCCTCTGTAGCACGTGTTCCCTGCTCTTGCTAGCGTTCCTCCTACATACTCCCACCACCACATTGCACAACTGCATGGTGTCATAGTGAAAAGTAATGTGGGCATTATTAAAGAATACAAATTAACACTGATTCAGAAATTAAAATATGTAATCTGAAAGCTACCATTTATCAGTGTATACATATCAGTTGTTCAGCTGAGCTTGAGCAACTCATTTATCCTGATGGTGGTGAAGTACGGGAGGATCTCTGGCAGCTTTCAAATGACTTCTTAGTGTTGGTCTTTAAGGTCTCTAAGCTGCTGCTCTCTACAATCATTATCCCATCTTTATCCTCCTCATTAAGCAAATCTTTTCCTTATGACCTCAAATTTAACTACCAGAGTAATTTAAAATCAGGTTGGCATTTTTTATGCATTAATTTCTACATTTTGAGTTTTCAGCCTTGCACTAGCTTTTTTTACTTTCCTATTTTTACATATTTTCAGACATGGAAATAAAAAACATTTTTAGGCTACAGTAGAAAAGGGAAAGCAATGTATGATGTGTGTCCTTTTAAAAGAAGAGTACAGTGGGTCTAAGTAAAGATTAGAAAGCATGTATGAGATGAAAGTTTACTATCCTTGTTTTTTATTATCTATGTGTTACTTGCTGAACAATGACGGGTTCTGTGAGTTTACATACTTGCAGTGGACGACGATCGGCATCCTCTGTTTTTTGCTGCCCACACAGCTGCGTTTAACCTCCTTAATCATGTCTATGAGTTCCTGAGGTTTCTCTGGCAGATCTGTGCCCTCCCATTTTAGGAACTGGAAGTGTTTCACCAGCCGACTCTCTTTTCGCTGTTGACAGAGTCGTTTAGTTTTGAGTAAGCCATCATAAATGTCAAACTGTCATAGATATGTTGATATAGATGGCGATAGATGTTACCTTGACATATCGGACCAGCATGTTGCGGGTGATGAAAGTCGGAGTCATTTCTGTATTTGAAACTTCTACCTCATAGTCTCCGAATGTCTTCTTTTCTTTACTCCAGTAAATTGCTTCGTCGTCCTGTCATCAAATGGAAATCAAGCAAAAATGAATGCTTACTCTAAAACCTTACGTATCTGTGTAAGGAAGCAGGTGTATAGTTCTCACCTCTTTGTGCTCTGAAAGCATGACTATAGTAGATAATTTCTTCTGGCAAACCATTGACCAAAAGTCAGCAAAGGTGTCTGGCAATGGATCCTGAGCTGTGATTAGCGAACGTGGTCCCCAGTAGCCCTACAGAAACATGCACTCTTTATTTAAAACAGCTATTTTACAGGAAATATAATATTCATTTGCTGTTTGTTGAAAGGAAACAGTCATTTGTTGTGGAATGCATTCATAAATAAAATAACCCAATAAGGTGAAAAGAGTAACATACATTAATGTGGGAGGCATTGATGTATTTAGTGGAATCTTCATCGTCTTCATCTGATGATTCATCCTCCTCTTCATCATCAGCTTCGCTGTCCTGACTGACGTCTTCCTCCACCTTCACTAACACTCGGTTGAAATCATCTAAAAATGGATTTTTAGAAGACAGTTTGTAGAAAGAAATGCGTTGGAGCGTATCAGTAAATCTGATTACCATGAAAAGATTTTTTTTTCATATGAATTTATTCGGGAAGTGAAACTCATACATATTGATTTGTTTGACACAGAGTAAGCAGCCTTCAGCTGAGGCATGATTTATTATACCCTTACTAACACACAGGTTCTCCATAGGGTTTTGGGGCCACTTTTTGGACCAATCAGCACAGAATTTACATGGTCATTAGTGCAGGTATTGGTACTAATGTCTATGTGGGAAGGAGCAAAATCATGATGAAACACCTGAGACTCTACATAAAGCTTGTCAGCAGGTAACATGATGTGGTCTAAAATGTCCTGGTAGACGCTGCGCTGACTTTGGACATGATAAAACATGGCTGAGCAGCACCATCAGACAATGAAGCTCCCTCCCTGACTGTGGACACTTCTCACTGAACCTAATGCAGCTTGGATCTCTGCCTCTCAGCTTTTTTTTCCTAAACTCAGAAACTTTAATATCCAGGAAAACAGGACTTCGGACAACAAGGCAAGATTCTATTCCTTTGCTTAAGTCGTCTCTTCTAGTGCTGTCTCTGGTTCAGGAATGAACCTGTGTTTTTTATATGTCTGTTTAAGCTTCCTCTGTAAATAACTTTTACCACCCGTACTTCCTTTACTCAGATCTCCATTAACATCTTTGCTTCTTTGCTATTAGCTTTTTGTCACTTCCTGTTGAGGATGACATTGAATGTCTGTTCGACCATTGTTAAGTCAGCATTCTCCCCCCAAAAATATCAAAAAGCTTTTTTTTATGTGATAATACAATGTCAGAGAAAAACATTTTTTAATTTCCATCAACTGTCAGCCATATTAATCAAAATTAAAACAAGAAAATTTTCATTCAGTGTGCTTTGTTTCAATGTAATATATAGGTTTGCATTCTGAATCAAATGACTTCCATATTGTCATGCAATCATAGCAGCTACTCACATGGGATAATAGACGAAGTGCGGTTCTTCTTCTTGTTTTCTTCTGTGATCCCTGTGTTAAAGGTCCTCCAGTTTTTAAAGGAGGGGAGTCGCTGAAATGTAAAAAAGGTTTTCCATTTATAGTAGTTACTATCTCAGAATGAGAAGCAAATGACACTAATGTTGACACTTTTAATAATGACAATGTTTAACCTTTTTTGATCATTATATTAAAGTATTTCTTGCTGATGCTGCCTGGTTGCACATCCTGACTAAAGTTCACTTGCATGAAATTGGTTAAATAAGTTTATTTAATTATTTTCAAATTAACATATGTTTTATAAAACAAACTCACCTCAAACTCTTCTTCCATTAGGGTGGGCTCACTGTCGGAGGTTTTCTGTTTGAGCGTGCTCAGTGTGCTGTGCAGCTCTGACAGAGTGATCTCTGTCTCTCCGAACTGGTTGTGCTCCAGCAGGGCCTGATGGATCAGGATGTACTGGGCCTGCAAGATGGTACAATAATTTACATAAGCGCCCAGACAACTACAAAAAAAGCTTTTATTTTTTTTTATCTGTGATCAGACTGAATGCATAAAGATGTAAACTAGTGGGTTTTCGCGGTGCGTTGGTTTCACTTTAAACACTCAATCAAACCTGAAAATGGCTGACTCATACAGTACTTAGAAGACCAGTAATTATTTTATTTCTTCATAAAATTTACATATTAGGTCAGGTGATGATGGAGGAGATGGCAGGTGCAGTGTCTTGAAAAGTTATTTATATCCGTTGAACTTTTTTGCATTTAATCATGTGTTTCATAGAAGATCCTGATGACATGGCAGTCAGGGAACATAGGAAAGGTTTCTTGGTGTCTTCCAGTTGGAATATATGTGCACGCTTCATAAATATTTCAATGGGATTTCATGAGATAAAGTGATGCATTTGTGTTCCATGCTAAGTCAATTAGAAAACATTTTAAGCTCTAATTACGCCTGTGAGTCTTTTTGCTTCTGTCTCGCTCAGCTGCAGAGATCCAGACAAGCAGATTTTTATCATTCTATGAAAAAAAAACAGCTCAAACTCAGTTGGATTAAAATAATAACATTAGTAAAGATCTGTTTTAAAGTCTTGCCAGAGAGTAATCAATTAGATTTAAAACTAGACCTTCAAGCTACATGATTGGAGTCGCTCTGCAGGAAAAAAAAGCTACTGTCAATGTTAAATCTTTTTCACGCACTAACGGTTTTTATTTTTTCTTCAAAAGATTGTAATAATTTGGGTTTGGCCTTAACTTGACAAACATGTTTTTTCAGCCCTTATCTTATAGCAGATGAATGCGAAGAGTAGAGATGTGTTTCAGATTTGTTAGTTATGTAATTAGCATAGTTAAATAAGGAGAAATGCTTTATTAACAGATTAAAAAATGGCAGCTGTATGCAGTTAGTTTGGGGCTGTACAGGAAAGAAGCTGGAAAGACTAAAACAAAGGAGCTCGATGAGGATATGTGGCTGCACTTTGCAGCTGCTCACAACTCATCGAAATGCCTTTTAATACAGTTGCCACATCAAACAGTTATATCAAACATAACATTTTTAAAATTCATTTTTTTTCCTTTAATTGTTGGATTTTTTTTAGATTTTACTTCCAAATAGAAAACAACTTCTTTGTTAAATAAAAGCATATTTAAGTTTTAATCGTCCATAAGTATGTATAACTTGGGTCTTACAGTAGCTTTAGCCACTTTGGCACCAACTTTTAGCTTTGCTCTCATGATGAGCAACCCGTCCGTATAAAAAGAATAAACTACTCAAAAATAGATAACTCCTAAAGATAATGTTTTGCTCTTGATTTGTTCTACAGAAACAAAAACAAGAGAGTACTCATAACACAGTTTTCTGATTCCTTTTTGCAAAAGAAAGACTTGTACAGTCAAAGGTGTAGTTATAAAGTGATTAAATGTGCAATCATAGAACTAATACTATTCAGGGAACTATACATGGAATTAATAGTCTAGTAATGAGACATTTTATGCAAAATGTTTTCCTTGCACCAGTCTTCCATTGTAAAGGAAATATCGGTAACCATTAGCAACTGCTCTGGTCTGAGTGAAGGTTACAATTTCTGACCAAATCTGTTATCATGTCTCATGGTTATTTAATACATATACATTATAAAGTGTTATTTAAGTTTTTCCTGAGTGAACACCTCTCAGGAAACGAAACCCAAGAGAGAAAGCTTAAAGGTGTAAACACAGAGCTTTTATTGTAAGCAAGGTTCTGGGTTTAATTCCTAGCCTGCATGGAGTGTGCATGTTCTCCTCATGCATGCGTGGGTTCTCTCCGGGTACTCCGGCTTCCTCCCAGAATCAAAAAACATGTTAGGTTGATTGGCTTCTCTTAATTCCCCTTAGGTGTGAGTGTCTACATAAATGGTTGTTTGTCTCTGTTTTGCCCTGTGATAGACTGATGACCTGTCCAGGGTGTACCCCACAGCCCGTTGACAGCTGGAAATGTAAACGGGTGCCAGCATCCCTCGTGACACCAGTAGCTATGAGCTTGACAGGAAATGGATGGATGAATTAAGCCCAGCCCTTCCATCTATTCTCGTTTAAAAAAAATTAATGCCCCAAGCTATATTGTACCATTTACTGATCCTACCTCCACTTGAACCATGAGGCATCTCTGTCTTCGGAGCTTGACAACATATCCGTAAATGTCCACTCTGCCCTCCGCCTCCAGACCCTCCATCATGGCATCGATGCCGATATAAGTTCCGGTTCTGCCGACTCCAGCACTACACAAAACAGATGGTTATTTGTCTGCTTATTTTTGCCTCATTTTAGATATCCTGATTTGTGTAAAGGTGCTCTGGAGAATTTTTAAATGAAGGAGAGATGAAATGAGATATCCGACCCATTTTTTACTGTTAACAGTAGCACCATTATATGGCCTTGTGAGACCAGCAGAGTTTAGCTTCTCGAGCAATAATTGAATCAGGTGGTAAAGAGAAAAAAATTGTTTAAATGATGGGATTTGTTTAAAACAACGAAAAGTCTTAAATTGCCATTTATCTGGCTGTTTTAACATGCCTGCAGTGAACAACGATGGGGCCGCTGAAGAAATTCTTGAAAGCATTGACACGCCGCCTCAGTTTCAGCAGGAGGTGTGGCTCTCCTGGGACGCCGTGGTCAGGCCAGCTCATGAATTGAATGTGAGTCACTTCTCTCTCAGAGTTCTTCTCTCTCTTCTGCAGGTCGTCACACACAGACATAGACTCAAATCTCAAACATAAACTGCGGTATGAATACCTTTACACATCTCATTCATGGCCTCTACTGAATTTCTACTGTATCAAATACTCATGGAGTCTAAACAAAGACTTACATTAGTCAGGGTCAGATGGCGGATGGTGTAATCTGGGCAGATGTCCTCTGAGGATAGCTTCACAATGAACTCCTCGTAGATCTCAGTCTCTCGATCAGGCGAAGGCCAGTACTGGGCACATTTGATCTGCAAAATGGCAGGTTAGAGAATTTAGACTAAAAAAAATTATATTTAATAGATGGATTATTCAAATAAATAAAAACATCTTGCAGAAATAGAACATAATTTTGCTTAAAAACATCAAGAACACCTTTACAGAATCCATTTAGAACAATTTGTTATAATGGCTGAAACCTTGGTTAAATAGTGAATTCAGATTAAGGTTCTCACCCGGCTCCCTTCTTCACAGCGAGTCACCATGACAATAATGGAGGACTGCTGCTCCCAGACCATCCTCCAGAAATCGCTCACAGTTTCATCTTTCGGTCCTGCAAAACAAATATAACACATGTTACTGCGTGTCGACATTTTTTGGCTAAGAAAAAAGGTAAGTGTTACTGTACCTTGAGCTGCAATATATTTTTTGGGTTCCTTGAACCCCTGCAGAAAGAAAAAAAAAAAAAGGATATTACCTGTTTGAATATCATAATAGGTTGTTTCAATATGTGTTAGGCTTTATCACTAAGCCCAAATTTGATCATACAGGTTTATATTCTTAATTATTTTCAGCCAACAAATTTGTTTCTGACACAAAGAGAGAAAGCTGTTTTTTGAAAGTTAATCAAACAAAGATTAATTTGATAATAACTGCTTTTAATTTTTATTAAGATAAAAATAATTTAAAACTATTTAAACACCTCTCTCCTTAGTCTACAGAAAAGTCTTTACTATTATTCCAGCAATCAAAGCATCCTTATGATTGCTGCTCAACTTTTTGCATAATTCCACTTGTAGTGTGAGTGTTCACTTTTGAGAGCTGATGTCCAATTGAGGCTGGATGACCTCCTTACCAGCACCCTAACTTAGTTAATTAAAGTAGAAACATGCTAGTGAAATGGAGAACTTGAATCAAAATGTATCAGGCTTAAGAATATATTTGGATTGAACAATGTTTAAAGGTTAAACATACATCAATAAAGCTGGCATTAATATAGTCACATCCTGCTTCTCCATTCCCTGTGGCCAGTTGGACGCGGTTGTAATCATCTAAATGAGAGCACAAAAAAAGAATAAATAAATGCATAAATCAGTAGATTTTATTCAACTGCAAGTTAAGAAAAGATAGTTAACAGATATCTCTACATGCAATCTTTACAGAAAATACCAAGCTTTATATTTAGAACAAAGGCTTTGAAAAATTATTCTTAAAACTGATTTTAGAAGCAGTGACATAAAAGTTATTCAATAATTAATGACAAAAAACTCCCTAATACCTCTTTAAATCTCAGCTCAGATTTTTTTTTTCCATGTCACACTGAGTGCAGTGCATATAGAGACTTGTACTACATATAGGGTAACAGATCCCAATCTGTGCAGATTTGTTTTCACTTCTGTCTCTGTGCCCCGAAAATTTAAACACTTTTCCACAACCAACTGAGACAGATTATTATAAGTAAAAAAGATTTGCTTTGCCATACTATACCTTGTTTTTTTTTTTTCCAAGGCTCAAAGAATATCTTCTGATCTCCTATTATGGGTAAAGTAGGCTATTCTGTTTTTTAAAATGTTTTAATTGATTATTCCCAAGTCTGCCTGCCTGCTATATATGTGCAGTGTGACTCCAAACCTGACTGTTTTCTCTTGTGATTAACACATTTTATTTTGTAATTCCCCCAAAGCGAAAATGTTTTATTTGTAACCATGACTCTCTTCCTGTCAGAAATGAAATTATCGCTGGATTACTGTCTGACTAAAATAGACCTGGGTTCTATCTCAGTTGGAGCTACACAAGGCCGCTTGCAGAAAATCGTGTCAGGTGTGTTCATTTTCACTGACTTTCGTTTTAGTGCTAAATGTCACAACTTTCTGTAAAAAAATAAATTCTGTTGGATTGCACAAAATCAGATTCAGTGTTGAAGCATTTTAAAGTCTATTACTAGAGAGACAGGGAGCCAGTGTTAGAGTTTTAGAACTGGGCCTATGTGCTCTATTTTCTCTGTGTTGGTGAGGACAAGGGCAGCAGTATTCTGGATCAAATGTAGCTTTCTGACCAACTTTTTAGATAGACACTGTTGCAGAAATCAATTCTTCTAAAGCAAAACGTATGAAATCTCTTTTCTAGATCCTCCTAAGACATTATTCCTTTAATTCTAGAAATGTTTATTAGAACAGTTTTTTTTATACTTCTGTGAAGGCTCAGGTCTGAGTCCATCATTACATGCAGATTTTGAACACGATCAGTGGTTTTTAGCTGTATTAACTAAAGCTGTGTTCTAACTAGATCTGCAACGAACGATTATTTAGCAATTTCATTATTCTATTGATTATTTTTTTGGATTAATCGATTATTAATTGGATAGCAAAAGGTTCCTCAATGAAGAATTTTTACGAAATTAAACCAGGTAAAACTAAGACTTTTCCTCTTGAGGAGTTCTGGACAGAGCATATGACAGACGAAAACTTTTTTCTAATCTTAAATGCAAAATGTTTATATATAAATTTTTTTTTTTTTACAATTTTGTTATATTTACTGGTCTACGTGGGTTGCTTTGTCGGCTGGAGACATATTTTAAAGTCTCTACACTGTAGTTAACGATTAACTGATTACTAAATTAGTTGACGATTATTTCAATAATCGATTATCACTGTTAATCTGATTAATCCGATTCATCTTATTAATTGTTTCAACCTTAGTGCTAACCGATAAAGGCTCTTCCTTTAGTCCCAAAATTATTAGTCCAGTTCTGTTCAGCTAAAGAAAATTTTGTCACCTCTAAGTGTCTATCTCTTCTATACATTTTCCCAATGTTTGAATGGGTTCATAGTCACCGGGTATGAACCCAGTTATCAACAGCAATTTTATAACCGTTGTTTTGGAACCACAGGAGAAAAGACCTGACAAAAGGGACATGTTTATTATTGGAATTTAATGGTACGTTATCACAAGCAGAGCTTTCTTAAGGAAGATAAAACATCATAAAACATTAAGGCGGGTAAAACATCAAGACAACAGGAGGAATATCTTAATTGGTGTTTTTTCTGCTAAGTTTTCTGGGTTTAATTGGGTTAAAATTAGGGAACTCTGTCAAAATCACTTTTAGTTGGAGACAACCTTTACTAAGACTTGAGACATATGTACAGACTGCTCTTTTACTTTAATGGGTTTATTGGTGAAGAAGTTAGCAAATCTGTTGCACAGACTGGTAGAGTGGAGTTCAGATACTACGGTCAAAGGAGAGTTTCTTAACCTGTTGACCCTGATATGGCAAAAAGACAATCAGTGTTCAACACTCCCTTTTTCCACCTCTGAGTGGGGGAATTTTTAATATATAATGTAAGTTTGAGCCTGTTGTCAAGGCTCAGATCCCATCCCGTCCTGACCAAATTGATCAACAATGCCTGGAGTTATGAGCAGTTATGAGAATATCTCTAACAGCTTGAAAATCTCTCTGCATTAAAGGAGATGAGGAGAGCGTCTCTGACTATTCATATAAAGGTCAAAATTTTGGAATATTGTTAACTGAAAAATATTTAACAGAACGCCCAAACTTTAAGAGTACCCTTTATGTTTTTTTTAAGAGTTTGAGAAGAATCATGTGTGAAGTAACAGTACTGGTGTTGTCTTATTTCTCTTACTCACATGGAAGGATGTCTACGTAGCGGTTTTTAGGGGTATTACAGGCCTTCTTCGCTTCTTTCACTGTGTATCTTGAGAAGATTCTGGGAATACTCTGAAGAAAGCAAGACAAACAACTTTCAAATAAAAAACAAACAAACAAGCTACTAAATGCTTTAAAATGTACACTTTATTCATTAAATCAGTAAATAATATAGAAACCGTAGAAATAACATTGAAAAAGAAAGATCACCTGAAATTCACCCAGGAAAAGCCTTCCTTCATCGGCCAGTTTCCTTTTATAGGTTTCCAGCAACAGCTCCGCTGCAATCGGCTCCACAGGCATCAGACTTTCTTCATCATCTATGAAAGAGAACATGAGACGACATAAGCATTAACATACAAAACGTTAACACACAAGTCAGGAACTTACAGTAGATACCATTTGTACATTTTGCATTAATGCTACTTTAAAGATAACTTTAATAAACCATATTTAACATTATTAGTTTTTAGCAAAGAGGTGGACAAACTTATAAATTCATCAAATGTAACGTTTTTGAACTCATAGACTCTCATAGAGCATTCATTGCAAAATGGTCATTAAGTACCGGTAAGTAAGAAAAACAAAGATAGTGACCTTTTTTGTAAAAAGTAACTTGCCTCATCATTATGCCTCTGCATTTTAACATTCTCCATTTACAATACATAACCAATCTATAATTTGATTTTCTATCATAAGCCACAAGAGTACACCTGATTTCCTTCATGTTTTCATTTTTTTCTTATGAAAACAATCAGTTTAAATTCTTAATGCTGCATTAAGACAAATAATAGTTCTTATGACAAACGCAATACTTACTACCTTTGGTAATTAGCTCCAACCTTTCAGTCAGATCACTGCAAAAAAAAAGTTAAATGTTTCAAAACATTTTTAAATATAATAAATTATGATTGGATTAAAAAAATGAACAGGAATATCTAGCACAATTTTTCAAATTAAATCATTTGTATTATTTTTCAACTCCTAATTATATAATTAGTAATTATAACAACTCATCAACAAAAGAAGAAAAGTAGTTTGCTGTATAAACATATAGAAAAGTTACTTAAACAGCCTGTTTAAAAATACAAACCACAGTCATAACCAATCAACTGCAGAAGTCCCCTGACTATTGGAAAAAAAATAAACGAAAACGTGCTTACTGGGACTTTCTGCGTTTAAGAACGTAGATCTTATAGAGGACAAGAAGGAGAGCCACAGAGGTGATGATGATGAGAAAGACCAGGAATCCAATAAGAGCTTTGTCATTATCTGAAAAAGCACAATGAAAGTTGTAGCATTTCTAGTACAATGTGTAGAAATTCATCTGGTTGGTATAAATAGATAGAAATAAGTGTTATAAATAAAGAGACACCTACAGAGAGTTTTAGCTTTTATTTCCACAGCCTGGCTCTCAAGCTTTCCATTGGAAGTTTGAACCTTTAACGACAAAATGTTTCTAATTAGGATCCACAGCATTCAGGAAAAGGTTACAGGAAAGCAATACATATTTTTTTCCATGAAATCAGCTTAGGTTTATACAAACCTTTATTGTGTAGGATGTTAAGTATTTCAGATCTTCGAATTCAAATTCAGGGTTTCCTTGAGTCTTTTTGATGTCAGGGTTGCCAACAAGTATTGCAATGTATTTTGTTTCTGGTCCTCTAAATTTCTTAGCTGAAAATTTTACCAAGATCTTATTGTTCTCTGGATATTCAATTTTCAGTACTTCAGGTTTATCAGGTACTGTAGGAGGAAGAGAAAAGACACATATGAGGAAACATAGATAAAATGATGGAAGCAAACCTGAAAAACTTTTTCAGATTTGTAATTTATAAACACTTGAACAAAAACTGATAATGTATTAGATTAGATTTATTATCTTCAGGAGGTTTTCATTTGGAAATGTTGCCATTAATGTGTTTATTGTATAATCAGCAGGTCCCTCATTAAACAGGGAATTATTAAGAAGACTTACTATCACAATATTATCTTTTCTTTTTATGTACCAAACATATGTTATTTATTAGAATGTATTTCTTTATTAATTATGTGAAACCTGCAGTGAGTCTCTGGGGTAAGACACTCACTGCAGGTTTCACAGAATTAATAAAGATACAATTCTGGGTCAAAATAAACTTGTTAATATTATTTTCTCAACAGATGCATAGACTGACAGAATACGTATGATTCTGGCACCTTGGTCTAAATCTGCTGTAAATGTAGACTCCCTCATCTGTTAAACTGATTCATAAATAATTATTAGCAATTTTCTAGTTTTAATCCATTTACTGTTTTAAATAATCCACATACTATAATTTACTATTTGCATTAATATAAAACCTGATGATAGAATTAGGATTTTCAAAACAACAATAATTAAACCCTTAGCAAATTCAAAATGTTTAAAAATAATAGCTTCCTTATAAGTGATTTATTATATCCCATGGAATCTAAAAACTACATGTATTATTTAGATTGTTAAAAAAAAGAGTTGAATTTCCAAGGAGAAAACATGGATGTGCCAAACAAATGAATTGAAAACTTTTACTATATCATTTTAAAGTGTGTTTTAAAGTGAGAATTAAAAAAAATGAAAAAATATTTCACAAAATATATTCATTAGTTACTCACTTCCAGGCTCAGTCTTTATTGTAACTTCTTCTTCATTTAAGGGCCCTGCTTTGTTGTAAATGGGACGGACCTTACAAATGTAAACCTCGAATGGTTCAAGTCCTCCAATGTCACACGTTCCTCCATCAGGTTGTTTTTCCTTTGTTATTTTATTTCCAGGATCTATATTGTGATTAATTTAAATACAGTAGCTTGTTATGAAATATTGTTATAATGATTCTAATGATACATTAAAGTTGAATAAATGCTGAAGAAGAATTTGGTCTGTTTGTCAAATTAAACATGAGGTGAATAAAACATTTCCATTAAAGTTGTCCACAGGTCACTGCTGCTTGAACACATTGATAGTTATGAATCAGAGCTTTACTGATCATATCTGGTTATTACATTGATATTTAATATTCAAATATAATTTGTGTAGAAGAGATAAAACTGATTGAAAAGTTTTCCATATTTCAGCTAAATATCTAAAACTTAGATGATCCTACTGCAAATATATTGAACATTATTGGATGTTAATATACTAGAAAAAAGCTAATCTAATAATTTTACTCACATTTGCTGTTCTGACAATCACAGCTGTAAGAGAGCTCATCCAGGTTGTGAAGAACATCTTGACATTTATTACTCGTTGTGTTCCAGCTCAGGTTAATGGAAGTGTTGGATTTTTTAATGGTCTTTAAGTCTTTTATTGTAAAACCTGTTGGAATAAAATAAGAACCACTAATAAATCCAGTTCCTGTTATTATTTTTCGCTCCACACTTTGTTAATATAATAATTTTGATGCAGTAGTTTTTAACCCACCACAGGTAATGTTAAAGTGTACAGGTAGAGTTGTCTTATTTATGTAGACACTGTTGTTCTTGATGTCTCCAGTACAGACGTAATCAGTGAACGGCTTCATATCAGATGGTTCAACTGTTTTATTGTCGTTTCCTAAAGAGACACAAACATTCAATCATTTCTGGGCTTTTTGTCCTGAGATTAACACCAAGTAGAACTTTGACCCGTTTAGTAAAAGTAAATATTTAGATCCAACTTGGAGAGAGAACATGTTAAAACTTTTCCCTAAAAATAATTAATTAATTTATAATGTGTATTTATGCAAACATCTGTTTCTACATTATTTTTGCTGTAGTTTCTGCTCACCTGAACATTTGTACTCAACAGTGAGATTATTACAGCTTGAAGGTAACTTTGGTTCGATCTTTGCAGGAAGTTCAGTGGGTTTAGTCTGATTTATGTCCTTTGGATCAATGAAATCTGAAGAACAAAAGTATCAAATAGATATAACTGATGAGAAAGAAATAGATTTTATCTCTAATAGGTTTTTGTACATACCAACAGGAACATATTGAGGGGCGGTAGATTGGTAGTTTCTGCAGTTTTGTGTAGGATACTCTAAAACAAAATTTGAGCAGATATCTTCATAAGCAGGTTTGAAATTATATGATCCACTGTTGAACTCTGGAGGTGAAGCCTTGACGTATTTTGATGATAAAGAGCTGATGTTCCAACCACTCTGGTAACAGAAGTGGTTGGGATATCCAGCAGGGCAGGAGACGTTTTTAATGTCTGTTGGTTCTGAAACACAAAGCAGTTTTATCCAAGTCATATTTCAGTAAATAATGTAAATTAAGATATGAGGATATTTTACTTACTCATTCCAGTTGTTTTTGTTGTATTTTTATCATCAGTTTTGTTACAGATGATTTTTGTATCATTGACACCAATAAGTGTGACTATTACTTTATAGTCAGTGCACGGCTTCAGGGGTTTGATCTCATGAGCTGAGTTTTTATTGGAGAAAGAAACATTGTCTTTCCTTTCAAACAGACCTTCCTTCTCAGCTATGGTATAGAGGCCCTCAGTAAAATCTGTCATATTTATCAGGAAACCAAACTGGATCGCTTCAACCCTGTAAGAACCTGAACAATAACAGTTTCACATTTTATAAAAAAAGAGCTCAACTTTCTAAAGTTAAATTATTATTATAACAGATAAAGTAAGTTTTCAACACTGACAGATAAACCCTCTTTATTAATTGAAAAAAATGGCGTGTTAAGTTCTACACATTCGTAACCTCATACTTACACTTTAGTTCTTTGCTGTCTTCAGCTGTTGGGAAACAAGAAATGAACATTAAAAACATTCAAAACTAAATATATTCTTACAACAAAATATACAGTTACCTGGTATCTGCAGTTTCATTTTCAGCAAACCTAAAGTTTGCTTCTAAAGTCTGATTGTAAACAAACTTTTATTAAAGACAGAAATGCAGATTTAAAGTTCCAACCTGTGGTGGCAGCCATGGTTGTGTTTTGTTCAGTGCTTGGAGGTAGGGTGGCTGTCTGAGGAGATGATTGATTGTTTGCTTGATGGGGTGTGGTTGATTGGTTTGAGATGCTTGCAGGTGAGGTAATGGCTGCAGGTTTAAGAGCATGCTGAGGTCACCATCAGACTGAAATAATCCACTGTAACGTGTTTCATCTTACATGGACCATAACCAACAATGAATGTTATCATTGAAAAACTAAAACACTTGTTCTAACACAGCAGAAGAAAGTTAAATACATTACCAGACATGTTGGTTGAAGAGTTTGACTGAATTGTTGAAGTTAAGGTGGTGGATGGAGAGGTGAGTGTAGGAGTGACAGAAGAAGGAGTTTCTGAGGTCCTAGCAGATAAAACTGCTGAGGTGCTTGCAGGTTGGATGGCAACATGTTCCGTAGAACCTGTGCCACTGAGTGTAGGTAAGATGGCTAAAAATATAAACATCAACTCAACATCAATGCCAGTGGTTCCTACAGAGAAGAATCCTACATGTAGCAGGAAAAAAACAATCCTCTCCATCCTTGCATGCATGAAAAAATGATAGAAAATAGATAAAAAGCTAGATTTACACTACTCACATACTAGATACTGTCCAAACTAATGTGCTGCTCTAGTATTAAACCTAAAGTCATCATGATACATTTTCAATGAACAGTTCTTTACTAATAATGTGCCAACCTGACATATTGAGGACAAGTTGTAGAAAATAAGCTTCTAATTATCCCAGACTAAATGTTGTTGAAAAATCTTCATAGGGAGGACACACAGAATGCAACTATTAAGGCATAGGCAAAAAAAAAAAAAAAAAAAAATGAAACAATTCAGAAAATAAATGTTTCCTTCTTTTTCTTTGTTTGTCAAATTATTCTATAAAAGACTGTGGTCAACCGGAAATGTTTTCATTTCTGATGCAGAGGAACCTGCTGCTTCTGCACATCTTAGGTTTTTTAGGATTTCCAGATCTGATAATAGAAAGTGAATGTTATCTCTCCTTGTTTAGTTTTGGTCCTGGAGAGAAGAGATGAGCAGGTCTCTTAAGACCAAACATGGTTCATACCAAGCAAGCGAGTCAGAAACATATGTCAGGGTATGACCATTAGTGTCATTATCTTGGCGCTGATGACTGGATTAATTATTCATTTTATTTTCCTGTCCAACTCTGCCCGGTTCCTAATCACTGCTCATCTGATCCACCTGCTCCTGCCTCGATTTAAGGTGTTTGAATCCAGTCATCAGGGCCAGATTATTCTTGTTCTCTGTAGCCAGTGGTGAGAGTGTTTTTAGAGTTCCTCTGTGTTACTGATTTACTGATCCTGACTTGTTCTGCCTCTCAACCACTGAGCCTGCCTGTTCCTGTTCTGATCTGTTTGCCTGACCTGGCTTCAGACTCCATTCTCTTATTCTTATTCTCCAGGGCTGCAGCATCTGGGACACACTGGGCGCAACTCGTTGGTAGTCCACTGGATGGATTCTCTAGGCATGGACTGAACTTGTAAACCAGGTTAGTGACTCACGTTTATAATCTTCCTCTGTTAGATTTACGTTGTCACTAAACTGTGTTTCTCTCTTGTAGAGTTTCCTGCCTCAGATGCCCTAGCTGCTGCAGCTGCTGCAGCGCAGACTAATCTTTTAATTAAAACACTTTTTGAGCTCTCTCACTGTCTGTCTTGCCTGAATACTGGGTACCTCTGTTCTAAGTCATGACAATTAGGTGCTTTAGAAACCAAAAGTAGAGTATTAAAGTCTTTTTTTTCATAATCTGGGTACCAGAGCAATGATTTGAGCACAGGGGTGGGACCCAGATCATAGAGCAGGATCAATGGATAGAATTTAAAGGAACCTATTTGTATAATAATCCTAAACTGTATTTGTAAATAAATTATGGATTTATCCATGATTTTACTGACTCACCTATATTGTAAAATAGAGACCCCTTACAATAGAGACCACTAACCTTCAGAATTTTACATCTATTCAATGTAACAAACAATAACTGTAATCTAAAGTGTTTTCCATAAATGATCTCCAAAACACTTTCTGTTATATCTAAAATCCTCACAGTTTCACTAACATACTTGGATGGCATTCTTTGTTTCAGCTGTTTTTGATGAAGAGAAACTGACAAAAAACATGAACTATGAAGCAAAAAAAAAAAAAGGTGACTTTGTTTGTTAAAATTTATTTGTAACTTCTTCCTCATTTAGCATTTTGTAAAGTCATTTGCAAAAGTCACATATGATGAAATGAACACGGTATTGAATATTTTCACATAATGCAATAACTGTGTGTCTGGAGATGCTGAAGTTAATTAACATAATTAGAAAATATGTCTTCTGTGAGTTAACACAAGCGATGTCATCCTGCCTGCTGATTCAACTGAATGGTATCATAATGGTCAAAAGATCTGTGCATCTAGTGCTTCTATATGAAGACATGAATGACAAGTGTTGGATAACATGAAGCAAAGTTAGTAGCTTTAAGAAATTAAAAACCACTACATTAAATGATTAATTTCATTTTGGGTAGATATGAATGAATACTTACTTGAACCGTTGTCACCTGGAAATATATGAAAAGAAAAAAAATATTTAGTTATCAAATTACATACAGCTGAATATAAAGAGATTTACAAACAAGTGACACTGAAACTTTTGCCTCATATTTTTATGGGATCGTGATCTCTTTGTAAAAACAGAATGAAAGCATCATTAGTCTGAAAGAGGAAGATGGCCGACTTATCTGGATGAGGCAGGACTGTAAAAACCTGGTTGCTTTGACGACATGACAGAAACGCACTTGCTATTTTAGTAAGCAAACCACCACTTCCTGCTTCATACTAACATGCAGACACCCAGTACTTGCTGTTCTCTGAACCACCCCTCATGTTAAAACATTGAAACACACAAAAAATTTTGGATAAAATAAAAAAAAATTTACTCAAAATATATCGTATGTTGATTCTGCTTAAAGTTGTTACATCGGTTCATTCATTCATTCTTTATGCATATTTATAAATATTTTGAAATTATTTAAGTAATATTTTAAAAAGCATTCTAATCATTTTCCATAAAATTTCTCTTTTCTCCAGTTTGGTCCTTCAGACCCCCCCGGATAGAAGAAGCAAGCGATGAACAAAGATGTGATTGGGGACTGTCAAACAAAGAGAGTCAGGATGTGGTTTGGTGCGTTGTTGTTTCACAGTTTTGAGCAGAGATGCATGCTCTCTGCAGTGACATTTCACCACCCTGTTCAGGCTTATTGTTTCAGTTATTAGAGCATTGGCGAGAAAAGTTTAAGTTAGTGAGGGATGCGTTTGGTTTGAACCACTGTTTCAGATAAAAAGACTTAAACACTGAACAAGTCATGAAAAAAATTTGATTATTTAGCAGAAAGCAAACATTAAGGTAACTTCGAATAGCTTTAAGCAAATCAATAACTAGGATTATTTGTCTTTTAATATATTCTATATTAGATCATTTAAGGCACGATGAATGGGGTCTAACATTTATGGATATTCAGCAACTGAAAAGTAGCTAGTAACCACTGAGTTAGGAAGTCTTGGACTTTCCTTATCATTATCTTTAACAAATAAAAACAAGCGATTGATATTTTGACTTAAAAAGATGTAAAATAATATACATTTAAAAAAAAAATTAAGCACCATTTGGCTTAGAAATAATACACTTTATGGAGAGATCTAAATAAATGAGTTTGGAGGAAAGAAACTGAAATTTGTAATTAAAAAGTTTTAAGGCCCCATTTTAAGGCCCCATCTACCAAAACACTTACACAGTAAATGATTTCATATTCTGTATATACTTATTGATTTTACCTTTTCTAAAGATGAGCCAGCAATCGATTACATCCCTTACAAAATTGGATTTGAAATTAACTCAACAATGTGAAACAGTGTCAATTTGGAGGAAAAGTAACTCAAGCAACCTAAAATAAAGTGCATTTTACATCTGTTTTAATTTGAAAATGGAAAGTAGAAAATAATTCATACCATTTTTATGTAATTGCAGTGAAACCATGAGTTATTTATGCTTATCGGGTTCAGAGAATATTTTCAGTTAGTTTTTTTATTGATTGATATTAATGAGGGTTGTTCATAACGATCTCCAATTCAGTTTAAAATGCCTCCCTGTTATCATACTAACCTTTTTCTCTCTCAATAGATCAAACACTTTTAATGTGACTTTCAGTCAGATCAAATTCAATTCAGTTTATTAATATAGCATCAATTCACAACACATTTCATCTCAAGGCACTGTATAGAGATAATTGATTAGACAATCCAGTCAGATTGGCTTAAAAATGTTCTTAGCTAAGAAAACCCACTGATTACATTGAGTCATTGTCTGCAGGATTTGTTCCATGTTGTAAAGTTAAAACCTCAATCTAAATCTATAAATAAATGCGTATATACTTTAAAAAAAAACTTTTTTGAAATATCAGTTGTGGTGAAGTACTGGAATGAAGTCATACGTTTTTTTCTTTTGCTATCGTATCATATTAAAGATCCAGTATTTCTTCTCTATAGGCTTAAATTTAGGTTTAAGATTAGGAAAAAAACACCTTCAATAGACTAGTAATCTGTCTACAGTGATTCCTGTTGTTACCCCAAAGGTTGTGCATTCACAAAAAAACACTTTCACAGCCATTCTTATGGCAAAAATGCAGACATATTGGTAATTGACCATTAAACTGATATACATCCATGCTAATAGGAGAAAATCTAATCAAAATCTTAAATGTACCAGCTAAAGATTCTATAAAAGTTTGATGCCTTACCAACATCCATTAAAACCTACATTCCAACAAATCAGCGGTAATAAACGATGTAGGTCAGTATTGTTGATTGTTATGATTATTTAGGCAAATCTTTTACAATTGCCATTGTACTTCTCTGAGCAAATGATTGCAAAATGGTCATTAACAAAAACCGCCATTGGCATTCATAGATTGTTCATTATCTGATTAATTGTAATAATCTGTCTTTCATCAATAACCAATACCCAGCATTGGTTATCATAACCCATTCTTTGTAATCGAAACGTTTAATTTAGGCACAAGGACAGTGAATAGTAATAAAGTGTTCATAACGAAGCTTTTATTGAACATTTACTCGTTAATCTATAAATTTGACACAAGATTTAATTTCTCTCCTTGTTTTAGTTCAAGTTTTCAGTGTTTTTCGAGTAATTTGGGTTAATTGTACAGTATATCTATTGTCGCCATATAATAATTTTTCAACTATTATAATGTTTCTGTGCAATTATTTTTTGTTTACATGAAGGTCCATTTGGGTACGTATCAAATGACAAATATAAACCACATTAGGGACACACAGTATAAAAATGCATAAAATAAACCATATTTTGCTTTCTTTAAATATTTCATACTCCATTATGTTTAAGACTTTCTCATTAAATGTATTTTAAAGAGAATAATTTAAAATTTCTGTTGTCTTTCTAGATAACTATTTTACTTTCCAAGTGGCAAAGTGCAAAACGAAGGTGTGATTTTCACACTTTTTGTTTAATTGACATTTAGATATTGAAAGAAAGAAAGAAAAAGCAAAGGCCACGCGTTAAGTGTTAGACATCACAGAAGCTAAATCCCCAAATATCTGGATTAAATTTACTTGACATTCAGGAAAACCTTTGATAAAATGTATCTCTAATGTTCCTGTTGTCTCAGCCTCTCAGTTCACTATTTGTAAACTGATTTTATTTTTCATGCTTTTCCTTCACCATCTTCACTCCTTGCTGAAAGCCTTTACTTGTTCTTAACATTTCTGACCTCACTTCTTCATTTTCAGATACTTCCTTTTTTTTTTTGGCACGAAAGCTAAAGCATCTCTGAGCTTTTAGCGCTCGACCCGGCCCTGCCAGGAAGTCAAGACAGCCCAGAATGGAACAAGGAAGTGGTCACAGATCTGTCCCGCTGCAGCTACTGCAAAATGCATGTCAAAAAGCGCAAATTTGCCGGCTAACATTAAGCAAATGGAACGCCTTTGCTCTTTTCATTCAAATGCTGGGGAAACTACAAATGATCAGGGGAGAGTAGGAATAAAGGCTGTACAAGGATATTTTTGAACTTAATTCATTTTTAATGGTCAGTTACCAATATGTCTGCGTTTTTTTGTCGACTTAGTTGAAAACATTTGGTTAAAGAGGAATAAAACTTATTAAAATGTTATCTCAAAACTAACATTTATGAATTAGAACACTATTTTAACCTGTAAAACAGAGGGTAAGAGAGCAGAAAAGGGATTATTTAGTCATTATGTCTGTTGATGTGGTTCTACATCATGACCCAACCAACAAAACTATCTAAAAAATGCTGTACAGTATTCTAAAAACAAGCAACAAACCCTGAGCATGTACCTACAGAAAAAAAGGAAATAAAAAAAGAAGCATTTAATTTCAGTTCGTGTGCAAAGACGTCCGCTGAAAATAGGAGAAAAGACTTTTGATGTGTTGAACGGTAGCAGAACTGTGAGTGATGCTGCAGGCAATGAGGTTAGCCTGCACACCTTTTGCACACACACACACTCATGCACGTAGATGTTTATCTTATTCCAACAATGAAAAGGGTTGAAGTGAAGAGCTTGCAGGGACACACCTCATAAAAAAAAAAAGTATCATCTTTGATAGACATGTACCACCTTCCACCCACCACACAGACACACACTTACTGTGCAGAGTCACACCATCACACACATGCACAATGTCAAAGCAGAACAGAAACACGATTGCAAAAATTCCCTTTGCGGCGTGTTTTAAAGAGCATCGTCTTATTAACTGAAGCCTTTGATTGAACATCAGTGTTTATTCTTTTGCCAAAGGCAGCTGATAAAACCTGTCACTTTTCAGCTCCTCATATCTCACAGACATGCGGCTCTACTGTCTGCCATTCGTGGGGTTTAGAAAAGTTTAAGTGAGTTAAAGCAGCACGAAAGCAGAGAAACAACTCAAAGGTTTGATATACTGTAGCTTGTCATCTCTGCCCTCAGTTTAAATGATTACATTTTGTTTGCTGTTTTCCACCTTTTAAAAAAAAAAAGAAATGCTGATGACAGATTCATGTCTCACACAAAAAACGGTTCATCTTTTTACCATAAATACCATCACGCAAGACAATAATCTGCTACAAGTTCAGAAATTTAACTTAGGAAGTTAGACATCATTGCATCATGTTTTCTTTCTCAAAATTAAACCCAGTTTAAGAAGGAAAAAAAACATTAAAAGACACAAGAAGACATTGCAATGTCCCCCCTCCCTATAAAGACAACCTCACTTGTAATATTTGAGTACTTACAGTGAGCCAGACCAACCATCAGGATCCAGACCAGCAAGATCTTCAGGCCACAGAGACCCGCCATGTCCGGGGAGTAAGGGCGTGTGTGGGAACACACGATTCAAGTCAGGTCGAGTCCAAGAAAGGACCACGAATAGATCGGACACCAAACCTAACCTCTATTTCTAATATAATCCCCCTAATAGCTGCCTTTTTTCTAACTACATTCGCATTATCTGTCTAATCAGAAGGCGCAGCTTCCTGGACTTGTTCGCCAAACCCTAAACCTTGCTTCTGGTTTCAAGTGAAGCAAGTAGGAGTGATGTCACATAGCAAACTGAGAGCCTGCCTTCACCTTAGCTCTTGGTGGCAGGAAGTTTAGTTTCAGCTACGCCACCAAGAACAGGAAGCCTTCTCTTGTCTGATCTTCACTTGCTTTTGCTCAAGTGTGAAGAAAACTGTGACAAAAACAACTAAATAAATAACAGAGGTTGAGCTACCAATATGCCTACCTGAAACATTTTCAAGACTAAAGTTGCTGCAGTTGTTTAAAATGACAGGCGGTGAATTTAATGTAAATGCTGCAAAAACATAAAGGCTTTCAGGTTCATGTCAGACCTTCGTCTGCATAAAGGGACGAGAAGTAGTGAAACCTCTCAGAGCAGCTCTTGGGTCTCACTGACTCCTCCTTGCAGAAAAGCCTATGCAGGCCCATACTGTAGGTGCTTGTTCATGCACCAACACTGCTCAGTGCAAGCAGCCGTCCTTCCACTTGCACTGTTTTCCCCATGTTTTGATTTCCTGCTCTTTTTCCAAAGAGACAGAAGAAGGAAAAAAAAAAAACACACATGGCTACTGGCTGCAGGAGGGAATATCTTTATTTCTGCTGCTCATTTTGCATGAAAAAGTTACATGTATGTGAGCTTTTAGATCTCTTCAAAGTCATTGATTCTGCAAGCTGTTTGATCATCACGCTTCATCCCGGAGCTTAAAACGCTTTACTTCTGTTTACATACACAGGAAAATGGGGGATAAAAGGGGAAGAAGAGGAGTAAAAAACTCTCTGGGGAGTGAGGCTCTCACACCGGGTGGTGAGCTGACGTGCATCCAGATGAAATAAGGCTTTTCACACGGTTTAATGCAATAATACACAGGACTCCTTTTAAAAGCTTAGATAATTGGAGCTGAGCTGACAGAGTTCTTCTTGATCCCACGGTGGGTTTACACCAGGCTCTGCATGGTGGCAGGATGACATGAATCAAAACCATATCCTGTCATACATCTAATATTCTTTTTATTTATATTAGAGAGGAAAGTTTCTTTCACAGCGATTCAGTGTAAATTACTTTCAGGTCAAAGCGAACAGAAAGAAAACTTGTTTCTGCCAGAAAAAAAGAAATATCACATTTTTAGTATGAAGATCTAAGTATGGATTTCCTCTGCAAGCTATGAAGCACATGATATTGGCTATTTCCACCTCTGAGACTTTAGCCACTTGTATTCAGGAAGTGGCTCTTAAGCAAGCAGCATCATGTTTAAGCAACTAAAATGAAGCTGTTTTCACAACTTTGTAGTTTAACAAGTTCATTCTGAGAACTCACAGGAATCTCGCTGGTGTTTGATAAGTTTTCCCAGAACAAATTCACAGCAATTCATAGCAACATCTTATGGTCCTCCTGGCTCCCCTATTCTGAACATTAGACCATCAGTCCAAAAAAGGCTTCTGGTTTTTAGTTCCTATTAGATCTTAAATGGTTGAAACTAACAATAAGTGTAACAACTACAGCTGTATTGTTGCACCTTCACCTCAATGTGGAAATGTGACTATATGATGCAATCACTTTTCAGTATAGTCAGTTAGCTTTATTGCTCTTTAGCACAAATATTTATACTATTTTACTGTATCATATGGAGTTCACCTCCAGTCATACTTACAGTAGAGAATAAATTGTAAACCTCCTCAAAGCTGGAAAGGGCTACAGGGAAATTGTCAAGCAGCTTGGTGGAAAAAGAAGAAAATGGAATGAGCTACACATGACTGTCAAACTCCCTCGGACTGGGGCTGCATGCAAGATGTTACCTTGTGGGGTCTTAATGACAGTGTTGGGCACATTACTTTGAAAAAGTAATTAGTTATAGTTACTAGTTACTTTTCCCAAAAAGTAAGTGAGTTACTAACCGAGTTACTCCACAATTAAAGTAACTAGTTACTAGTAGAAGTAACTATTGCGTTACTTTTGTGTTTCTCGCCCCCATAACCCTCACCACCCGGCCCCCACCTTCTTGCCGTGTGTTTCAAAGTCAGCTGAATAGAGTGGATGACAAAGACAAGTACCTGCAGAGTTTTGCATTTATTGCAACGCAACTTAAATTACATCCAGATTTCTCCCTTTCCCATATAGGCTAACATTTGATCGTTTACGCTCTCCATATTTCCCCTGTGGCGCGAGCACAGGGTGGCTGTTACGCGCCTTTAGCGAGCATGCGTGTTTCCTATCGCTTGCGCGGTGAATCGTGCCGCCTGCGCTGTGCGGAGTTGCAGGGGAAACCGTATGTGGAAACGCAGCTCGACGTAACACCGGTATTTCCTTCGGGAAAACACTGTTTTGCTTCTGGAGTCCTCTTCACTCTCCATCTCTCTGTTTGTGCTGTACATTAACACCCGCCATCAGAAACATGCACCTACCCAACGACAGACGGAATCTCATTATACATCTCTATACATCTCACTATACATTAATTGTGCGATCTGAGTAACTTTCAATAACGGGGTGTCGGCAATGGTAACTGCGTTATAGCTACAGTCAAAGTAATTTGCTAGATTACTCGTTACTAAAAAAGGTAATGGCCTTAGTAACGCTTTTACTTTCAACGCCGTTACTCCCGTCACTGCTCAATGATCCTAAGAAAGGTTACAGTTCAGCCCAGAATAAAATGGTAGGACCTGGTCAATGACCTGAAAAGAGCTGGGACAGCTGTTTCAAAGGTTACTCTTGGTAATACACAAAGACATCATGGTTTGAAATCCTGCATGGCATGGAAGGTTCCCCTGTTTAAACCAGCGCATGTCAAGGCCCGTCTTAAGTTTGCCAATAACCATTTGGATGATACAGAGGAGTCATGGGAGAAAGTCATGTGGTCAGATGAGACCAAAATAGAACTTTTTGGTCATAATTCCACTGTGTTTTGAGGAAGAAGAATAAATACCATCTCAAAAACACCATCCCTACTGTGAAGCATAGGGGTGGTAGCATCATGCTTTGGGGGTGTTTTTCTGCACATGGGACAGGGCAACTGCACTGTATTAAGGAGAGGATGACCGGGGCCTTGTATTGCGAGCTTTAGGGGCACAACCTCCTTCCCTCAGTTATACCATTGAGGATGGGTTGAGGCTGGGTCTTCCAACATGGCAATGACCCTCAGCACACAGCCAGGATAACCAAGGTGTGACTCTGGGAGAAGCATATCTAGGTTCTAGCGTCGCCTAACCAGTCTGCAGAAAGGACAAAGCTTTTTTTCACCAACTATATGAATGTCCCCAAAATGTCAAAAACAAAACTACAAAAACATTTGAAATACCTTAAAACATTGTTTTACGACTGTAAAACAATCATGTGAGGAGCATTACTATTATAGATTGGATTATTATTTGCAAACAGGAGGATGCCACAGCTTTTCATAAAGATGAAAATTATTAACCAGGAAATGGTTTAATCAGGTTACTAAAAAACTCTAAATTAAAAACTGATAAGGACGTCTAGTCCAATTTGTCATGGTTTTGGTTCTGTTCAAGTTTTATCTCTGAGTTTTCATTGGTCTTATTTACATTTTTGTGTTCTAGTTTGATTGTATTTGAGTATTTAGATATTTCTTGTTTTCCTTGTCTCCTTTTCCCTAGCTCCTTTCTTGCCTCTGTTCACACCTGCTCCCAATCTGCTGATTAGCCTGGTCTTTGTTTCTCTCTCCTATATAGTCTCCTCCAGTTCAGTCACTATTTGCTGGTTTGTCATCATTTCTTTGCCCCCCTGGTAAGTACTCCTGGTTTTCAGTATTTTGGGATTTTGAAGATTTATGTTTTGGATTTTTGCTTCTGTTACACTTTTTGTTTAATTAAAATCTTGCAAGAAACCACCTCAGCTCCAGTCTATGAATATGGGTCCTGCCAAACCTCCTCCTCCACTGTGACACAATTAGGTCAAACCTAAAGTTGCTATCCTGTTCAGAAACATTATTATTACGTTATTTTGAGGGAAATTGTCTTTCCACCCTGATAGTGGTTATTACCTTATGTAACCAGAAAAAAAAAAAAAAAAATCAGATGTCTGTTAGAGTTGCAAGCCTGTACAAAATCTGACCGATCCCCGCCATGGAAAAAAATATCAGATGCATTCATCACTGTCCCTCCTCCTTTGCATGCACGCTCATCAGGTTTGGCCATTGCCGGAATTATTCACTACACCTCTTCACAAAACTGGTGAGGTAAGTATTGCTAAAAATAACATGCTAAAAATTGTTAGGTTATTATTGCTAAACCTGTAATGCTATATTGAAAGCCACAATAATAATAAAGTATATTTAAAGTTAAATGAGACGTGACAGTGAGGTAGTCGTCTCCAACATTGCTAACCATAGCTTTAGATTTCATTGAAGTAACTTAAAATGGAATAACTAGAGCACCATTAAGGTCTTAGGCAATCGAAGGTGCACCTGGTGGCGTCAGCTAGTCCTAAACATGATCTTCCAAATATTTTCTATTAGACTCAGGTCAAGAGACTGTGAAGGTCAGTCAATCTTATCAATTCCTTCATCCTCCAGGAACTGTTTGCATACTCTTACCACATGAGGTTAAAAATAATCATGCACCTATAGCAACCCAGGATCAACTGTCACTTTAGGAGGGCCTAAACAAAGGTGGGGGATTTAATCCTGAAACGTGTAGCTCTACAGTTCTGTGAATTATTCTAATGACATCCTTCTGTAGACCAGCAGTGATTCTTTTACATCTGTCAAATCAGCTCAGAGTGGATCATACAGTATCTGTAAATGAGACGCCAGAGCCGAACATTTCAGCTGATAAAGGCACATATTGATATGTCATTCTGGTGGAGTAGCACTGCCTGTGGAGACTGTTGTACCTACTATACCATAAGAACTAAAATGCTGTAAATAAATATTTTTTGGATGGTCTCAGTATCATGCCGCTACTGGACACGTTGTTAATCTTATTAAGACAAAACACCTGACCCTCTACATAATTTACCAAATCAATATCCAATCAGTATAACTGCCTTAGTGTTATACTCTCATTAAAACAAGGTAATTTAAAGATCTTTTTAAATAGTACATATAGTTGTACCAATCCTTCCCCCCCAAAACAAGTAATAATGGTCCTGATGTTCACACTATAATCGTGCCTCTTTTTGTTT